CATAGATACCTATATTTGGATGATGGAGAATGAAATATTGATAATATGCTGTATTTATTTAGATCGCAAAAAAGTTTGTTTACTGCGTATAGAAACCTATATTTAGGTGTGGGTGGAGATGGGTGTATGGGTGTGGATGTGGGTACGGATAAAGAGAACACTAATACCCACACTCACAGCCACACCCACCCACCCACACCCACACCCACACTCACACACCCACACCCACCCACACCCACACACTCACGCCCACACCCACACCCGACACCCATACCCACACCCAAGCTCTATCGAATACACTATACCACTATATCGAGCAATTCGGCTTTTTGGAATAATGAAGCAGTGAAGATAACGCTGTATTGGCATGTTGTCTGTGAGCATATACGCCTCAATGTTTTTCAATAATTCATAGAAATCTGGTATGATTCGATGCGCCTTTTCACAAGGAATCCGAATATGGTCTTAGATTTTATTTTTGACCTTGTTTTGGTATACAAAAGGACCGAAAATCGTGTGGGAAAACGGTGAAAAAAAACACGTTTTTCCGTTTTTAGTGCTTATAGTATTTTGCGTCTATCTCCGTCAAAATAAAAGCTTCTTTAAAATTTGTTTATCAAAATGCTTAGAATTAAAAGCTCTACAAACACTGAAAATTTCATCAAAATCGGAGATCACATTGGTATACCGTGGTTCAGATCTGCTGGAAATACCCAATAATGATTGATTCAAGTTAACGACGACAACTGCTCTAAAAATAGGGAACTGCAATTAGATCGTGCACATGTATTGAGGGTGTGGGTGTGGGTGTGTGGGTGTGGGTGGGGTGTGGGTGTGGGACAAGATAGATAACAACACCCACACCCACATCCCACACCCACACCCACATCCACACCCACACCCACACTCACACCTACCCACACCTTCAAGTACTACAACATCAACAAAAGATAATTTAGCATCTGGTGGTAGATTACTTTAATCTAGAATGAATCTATCTACAATTCGACCTTTATATAAAGCTAGTCAATCGGAAAAATTCATTCCAGATTCATTATCATCATCAAGTAATAAAATATTACTTGGTCATGAAGATGAAGTACAATTAATAAGATCATCAACACAAATGGATCATGGTGACATTGGTATAATCTGTATTTGATTTAAATTTTATAATCATTCTTTGTTTTTTGTTTTTCCTTCTTATACAGATGATGAAGAATTTTCATTATGTAAAGATGAATCATTGGATATGAATATTGTTCCAAAACCTGTTACACTAAATATGGTACCAGCGTCAAGTAATATGTTTCAAAGGACAAATACATTACCATCATCATATTCACCATATGATTCATCAAATAATCAAGGTTCAAAAGGATTATTAAATGATCCCAACGTAGGACATATACCAAACCGAATCAAAAATACGCAACATCAAGTATGAATATGGGTGTGAGTGTGAGTGTGAGTTGATGAATCAAATACTAACTCCTACACCCACACCCACACCCATTCAACGTCTTGTAAAATCAACGCAGCTGCTTTGTTTATACATAATAGCTAGAAAATTTCTTACCGTCTGCCATAATTTACAAATATAAGCAATACTACTATCGCATTCATCGAAAAATGTTAAAAGTTCGGCTAATTTCATTACATTTTGTTTTATTTGTGAGTTAAACATAGTAATTTTAGGGGTGGTAGTAGTTACTTTTATAGAGTTTATTGGTGTTGAATGGTTTTCAAAATAGTGTCGCACATTTGATCAGATGTTTTATTGTTAAGTTGTAGATCTTCACTTCAGCTATAACTTTGCTCCCAAGGTTATTTTTCGATATTCTTCATGAACTGAGTTATGGGACGTAGATGAAGTATTTTGATGTATTTAGTAGTTACATTTAAAAGTAACTACTTTGTATACGGCCCATAACTCAGTTCATGAACAATATGGAAGAATGACCTTGGGAGCAAAGTTATAGCTAAAGTCAAGATCTACAACTTAGCAACAAAACATCTGATCAGATATGCCAAACTATTGTGAAAACCATTCAAAACCAAAAAAGTATATAAAAGTAACTAAAAGTAAATATGCCACCCCTAAGTAATTTCAACATTCGTAGTTCATTGATCAACATTTTCATCTGCATCACTAACTGTTGGACTATCCAATGTAGCTGTTATGTCACTATTGTTGTTGTTATTGCTTGAATGCGATAAAGAAAGAGAATTGATGATTGTTGATGGTATCATATCATTATCGCTTTCATCATTAATCATTGAAACCTGATCAGTTTGTAATGTTTGGTGTTATTTTTCATAATTAATAGTTTCGTTCTTATCATTTGATTCATAATAGAAACATATTATTAATAACAAAGTGATACATTAATGCATTCAGCTTTTAGATATCTTACATATCGACACTTTTCATGCACAATACTTGTTCTTTTCCAATGCGATACTATTAAACTTAAGAAGAGGTTGAATCTAAAATGGCCCTAATATTATCAATGAATTTCATCAGAACTTTGAAATCTCGCTTCCTACAAAATCTGATGATTATATTAAAAGGTTGATGTGAGTAGTTCATACATGACCATGCTACTATGCCCAAATAATGCATAACTTAAAAATTGAATATCTCTGTCCAGGTAAGCCATCAGCAGTTCGTATTTTAAATTCGTCGGTTTCTCGGTGAAAGTGGTCATTTGACTCGAACATGGTCAATCTATTTGCTCAACAGTACACACCTTTCCATTGTTAGAATTTACGAAAAAATAAATGAAAATATTAAGAATATTTAATAACATTAAAATAGAGAAAGGAAACAATAGTAAGAAGTAAAAAAAAGATTGTTGTAGAATGTGCTAGAGAATAAGTAAGATTCATGTTATTGAGTGGCATCTATATAAGATGATGGAATTTGGTAATCGATAATGGTAATGGCTGATCGACGAAAAGATTGTAAATTAAAAGAAGAAGAAAAGAACAGATACAATATTTGTTAAGTTCAATTAATAAAAATCATTTTAAAATTGATCTTAATCAACTTCGAGTAAATAATCTATATAGATTTTATTTATTTATTTTAATTGAATAAAATTGTATTTAAGAATCCATCTGGAATCTTTGAATTGATCGAAGTTGTTGAGAATGAAAGATATGGACAAGTTTATAAAGTTATTTTTAATTGTTTTGTTTTATTTCTTTTATTTTTTATTCTTTTAAAAGGGTCGTCTTACAAAAACGAGTCAATTGGCTTCAATTAAAGTTATGGATGTTACAGAAGTTAGTTATGAATATATTTTTTTATGTAATCATAAATTTTTCTATTGTTGTTCTTAGAGTCAAGAAGAAGAAATCAAATTAGAGGTTAATATTTTAAAAAAAGTTTGAAATTCATTTTTTTTTTACATATAAAATCTTATTTTTTTAAAGGTATTCAAATCATCGAAATATTGCAATGTATTATGCAGGATTTATTAATAAATCTTTTTCAGAACGAAATGAATATGATAAATTATGGGTTATTATCATTTAATATTTTCATAAACGAAATATTTTTTTTTTCTTTTAAAGTTGGTTATGGAATATTGTGATGCTGGATCAATCACACATTTAGTTAAATCAACAAAAAGAAATTTTTTAAAAGAAGAATGGATATCTTATTAGTAAAGAAATTTTTAATGGTTTAAATCATCTTAATTTAAATAAAATAATTCATAGATATATCATGGAACAAGTGGGATTTAATAATAGATTTATTTATTTATTTACTTCTATTATTTAAAGAATGTTCTATTAACTGAAAATGCTAAAGTTAAATTAGTTGATTTTGGTGTATCAGCTCATTTTGATCGAATAATTGGACGGAAAAAACACTTTTATTGAAACATCTAATTGGTTTTTATTATTTTTTTGATCAATTGATATCATTTTGGTTTTTTTTTATTTGGAATGACCCCAGAAGTGATTGCTTTCGATGAAAATCCTGTAGCAATCTATGATAATAGAGTATATTCTTTCGAATCTTGATTTAAGAAAAACATTTCTTGAGAGTAAAATTGAGGTAAGAGTGCGAATGTCGGTCATGTGTAACCTATACTCTGAATAATCTGAATCAATAATGTTATAAACGAAATTTTGAGATTCTACCAGAAACTGAGAAATAGCTAATTGCTGTAGGATGCAGATAAGACACGTTCATTTTCTATCTCCTTTCAGATAAAGTTCAAAGAATGTCCTATGTTAGAGTCGACAACGGTGAATTGATTATCAGAGTGCCGATCGAACCGGATGGTACAATATCTATTAACACATTCAATCAGCTCTTTCCAAGTGCTACAGTATTCTTATTTAGAATAAATCGTTCGAATGATTGGGCTGTGTATGTTGTTAAATATATTCTATGAGTTTTTTCCGTTTGAAACGATGTCGAAACGAGTGAAACAACGAAATAATAGAAATGCGTTTCTACTATTTCGTTGTTTACACCCGTGTGGACACCATTTCGGACAAAAAAAACCTCATGGGATAGTGAAAATTCTACTGCAGTACGTTAAGAATTTGCCATTGTAGCGTGGAAAAAGATGATAATGGGAATTTCTTAGCACCAAATAGCATTTGGAGCGGCAACGCAGTGTATAAAGCGTATGATGCTCGTTGTAAGTAAACACAAAAGAACTTCACATTTTACTGATTGTAACTTTTTAGCTCCTCATCAACGATCATCACAATCATCATCATCATCAATCACATGGAACCACTTTTTATCTACACTTGGAAGTAAATTTTTTCATTACTGTTTATCATTAAGATCTAATCAGTTTTTTGAAACGAAACAGAGAAAGAATTAAGAAACATCGACTTGTTTTGTCTTTTTTGAACAATAGATTTGTTATGGCCTCCATCATCAGATCGTACTCCTAAGAAAAATCAGTAATCATTAACATGATCATCATGTAAAATTCAATTTTGTGTCTGTCTTATTTAAGGCCTAATAAAATCGTATTTGCAAAATGCTTCAAATTAACCTCTTCTATTTATTGCAACATGTTTGTTTATTTTGTGTGATTGTGCTTTTTAATGCATATTGATTTTTTTCTTGCTTACGCACAACCCATATCTTATTACCTCACACTATATACCGATTAAGTAGCTTTTTATTTGAGGATTTTATTTAAATTATTTTAGCCATGTTGATGCTGTGGTTTTTATCCGCAATATCATCGTTATACGTGAATATTTATAAAGCATTGATTAAATTATGTTCGTTGTCGTTATGGACAAGAATCTTGTTGGTTGTTGGTGTGTCTTTGATTTGTATTGGTCTTGGTACAGTAACTCTCAGATGGGTTTGCAAACAAGTAACAAATTGGTCGTACGGTTACGATGACGAATGACAATGACTTCATCACCAATTATTTTTTTTTGCTCTGTTTTCGAAAGAAAAGGTCTTTGCTAATCTCTTATCATTTAACTTATATATCAGATTCGATTTGGACTACTTTTTCTGGAATAGAATTCGATTCGACTCACGTAAGTGAAGAAGATTCAGGAACTAAATCCATTAATGCTGCTGGTATATTATTACATTTACAAAAATCTATCTTTGTTATTTCATCATTTATACTTCAAAAACTATTGGGATTAACTAAAATTCTTAGTGACCAATTAAAAAGTAGTTCTGTTTTTCCGCTACCTGATGATTTTAATTTTTTTCTTTTCAATTTCTTCTAAGACCCGTCTTTAGATTATGCTCGAGGAGAATATCTTATATCTTCAATAATTCAACAAATATCAGATTTAAAAAATGAACAATCATTTGCTGATATTTATTGTCAAATTACAGAGTTTTGTCAATTGAATAATATTGATTTAGTTGAGCAATACAGACCACGTCGAACAACAGCTGTTTCTGCTCGATTTAATGAATGTATAATTTCATCTACACTTGGTCAACGCGAAATACTATCGACATCGATCGATTTTTGCCACAAGCATTGCTATTCTTTAATTGATTGTATTTTAATTGAATTGAAAGATCGTTTTTCCGTAAAAACCTTATCATTATTGAAAAGTCTTTCTACAATCTATCCATAAAGTGCAAACTTTTTAAATATCGATGATATTCAACCGTTTTCTGACCATATAGATGGTGATTTAAATGCAATTAAGAATGAGTTTATGGTGATAAAACCAATGATTAAAAGCAAATCAACATCTGATGTTATTGAATTTTTGAATGAATTATTACCGGTAGCAAGTGCATTTCCAACCACCATTCGAATGATTAAAGCTTCAATAACAATGCCCATATCTCAAGTTACTTATGAAAGAAGCTTCTCCAAAACGAAGTTAATCAAAACATATGCACGAAATTCTATGAATGACAGTCGTCTAAGTGATTTAACTGCTTTAGCAACAGAACGTTCATTTGAAATAGATTTTGAAGAAGTAATAGATGTTTTTGCGAATAATCACAAGGACAGTAGAATTATTTTACGTTGATATCACTTTTATTATATTTTTTTCCATATTAAAGATATTCTTACCATAGACTTTTCTTTGATGCATTTAACAAAAATATCAAGGCACATGTTGCTCTGCAACATGCATATATACAGCAAACACGTCGAACACATCAGTCTAGGCATAAAAAGCACATGTATTACCTTTCCAATGCCTCCAAAAATTGGGTGGACTGAGCCCACCCGGGAGAAAAATCCTGGCACCGCCTCTATTAATAACCAATAATTTTACTCACTTCTTCATATAATATTATGTTATATACATGACAATACTTAATCACTAGCTTATCTACGCATAATAAATGTATCTATTCTCTTCGCTGCTTATATTAATCACTAATCTATTATATTATAACTAATAATTAATAACTTTAGTTCACAAAAAAGAAAAAAGAAACTTATTATCGTTGATGTTATTACCTTTAAAAATTGGTTGAGTTGATGTTGTGAGAGATAATCCACCCTACCACCAAGGTCGACCCTCTTCGCATTAACTTTACCAACATTTTCTTTGGTGATCAAACAATCACGAGAATACATCAACATGCACTGATCGTAACATTCTATGCTTCCATCAATTTACCAAATATCAACAACTCACATTAATCCATATCAATATCTTCTCTTATTTTTCTATGTATACTTAATTTAATCTTTCACTGTCATTTCTGATGATGTGTTCAGTGTACAGCACGAAAGCTTGAATCTTCCCTCTTTTTATTTCTGTTTGAAATAAATATTTAATAAAATGTTATTTACAGCAGTTATGTCTTTCTTTTCTTACTATTCAAATATTTTGCTCAATGGTAAGCACCTATTTGTAGTTTGTTATGTGATCGACGAACAATCAATTAAACAATAACTCATAGTACACAGTTAATCAAATATTTTATTTTATTTATAGCTGAGATTTGTGTTTCACTATACCATTGAGGAACACTTGATCCAGAAATAATTCATATGAAACAACTATTCGAATATCTTGTTCAATGCACAGTGCGTTGTGGTTGGTTATATCATCAAGAAACACTCGGTCAACGAATAATGCATAACAAATAGCTATTCAAATGTTTTGTTGACTTCGAAGCAAAGTTTTGTTCTTGATTACATCCTCGAGAAACACTTGACGAAAAAATAATTCTTAGGAAACAACTATACAAAAATTTTCTTGAGTCTAAAGCAAAGATTTGAAGTCAATTGTATCATGAAGGGACACTCTGCCGAGGAAAAATACATACCAAACAAAAAAATCTTATATTTGCTTTGATTCAAAGAAAAGAATATATTTAACGCTATCACAGGAGAGCATTTGATCAATGAATAACTCATAGGAAATAAGTGTTCAAATGTTTTGTGGAATTCAAAGAAAACATTTGTTGTTGATTATATTAACCAACAATTCAAATATTTTTCGCCATTGGAACCAGCCATTGGGATTCAATTATATCATCGAGGAACACTTCATCAAAAAATAATTCGCAACAAAGAACCATTCAAATATTTTACTCAATCTGAACGCAAGAGTTTTATTTTAATGTGTCATCAAGGAGCACTCGATGAAGAAATAGTTCAAATCAAACAACTATTCGCAGTTTTTACTCATTTTTAAGCAACCATTGGTATTTTATTGCATCATAGATTCATAGCACGCACCTATTCCAAAATATTGTTGAATTTGAAGAAAAGATTTTTAAATGATTATAGTGTTGACGAACATTCAATGAAGAAATACTTCATATTAAACAACTATTGAAATATTTTGTTCAGTTCAAAGAAAAAATTTACAGTTGCTTATATGATCGGTGTTGAAATCGAAAACTTTGTAATAAACGAAGAAGTCGTAAGTTCGTCCCCAATTGGGTGATGCGGAGCTTATTCAAAAAAGAGATTATCAGTTTTTCAGCTTTTTTGGTTGAATCGCTCAGGAACGAAATCCAACATTATCGGATTGCTTCCTTTTTTTTGTGCTTCAAGTATTTTTAGACCACGGTTGTGACGGTATTTGCCAGATGTTCAGAGTTTGAAGGTGCAGACGACTTGACACAATTGATGTCGAAATCTGTCTTAGTTCTTGCTTCTTTTTCCTTTTCTTTGAGGGAAAAGTCCGACTTGAAAAATGGAATAGCAGTTGGCTTGATGAGAATCATAATGAAAACTTATTGGAGGGATTTCGTTTAAACCTTAAGAATGTTTTCGTGTTTGTAAAGTATTGACAAAACCATTAGCTTTAGAAATAGTATCTGAGTTACGTTTAGATTCACCGAAGTTGAAGGCTTAAATTATACTTTTGGACATATCTGTAGCTAAGAAAACGGCTTTTCTTTCAAGCATTGAAATACTTGTGACATTTACTGAGTATCTCCAAAAATACAATGGAGTCACTCACGAATATCAATTCAAAACTCATAGACACCATCATTGGTTCGGCTCCGAATAGTCACAGAGATCACTTACTCCTTGATAGCCGAACAGAAGTTATTGAAACTATCTTCTACTAACAGTGGAAATTTACCGATAGATAGTTAATCAGCAACCTTGGCTCGATCAATTCATCGAATCGATCTGTTTAAGATGTCTAGTGCTGATCAGATGAACGAGGAAACGGTACATTCTCGTATTCTTTCTATTTCGTAGTATCCTTAAGGATAAAGAGAATATTACAGTTTATCGTTTCCCTCTTCAATAAAATTCTATCAGAGAGCGTTTTGATCAATTTCTCAGATTGGAACTGGAACTGATCATGCCGACCTTCATTTACGTGACCTGCAATATCTGTGTGATTACTGAATAACCTAATAATAGCTTAGCAGCTGTATCGTCCAATGAAGCTGCTTGTGTTGTGTAGGCCGTTTTCACCAACATAAAAAAAAAATGATCCAATATTCATTTTGCTGCTCTGCTTCATTGCTGCTAATTGTTTGTCGGCGTTTGAGAATAAAGTGGTAGATGTGTGTAGGCAAGTGTCTGACTGATAGAGCCATACAACTATGCTTTGGCTTTATAAGCGGTGTCCCGGAAGTTCTGTAACGAATGCAAGAACGATTAATTTCAAAATCGTTACAGAACTTTTGGGACAGTCCTTATGGGTCTACGAAAGATGCGCACCGAAAGTTGCGCACGACGAAAGTTGCGCATGGAAAGATGCGCACGAGAAAGTTACGCACGATATATATATACACAAACATTTATAAAGAAACAAAAACAAAAAACATAGACTAGTCCGTTCTTTTTATTTCATTTAATAGTGATACGGAAATCGGTCATCAATCCAGGCTTTTTATTTCTGTTACCGTCTTGTTCCATATCACTATTGAATGAAATAAAAAGAGGGTGGGGTGTGGGTGTGAATGTGGGTAGGTACCCATTAGATCAACACCCACACCCACACACCCACATCGACACCCCACACCCACACACCCACATCGACACCCCACACCCACACCCCACGCTCTTGTTTTTTGTGTCTTATTCATAAATCTAAATATTTCAATTTAAGATTCTAAGAAATAAATAAAACTATTAATTGTTTGTGTTTTTTCTAACTTTTTTCTATCGAAGTAAAACTGATTATTATACAATTCGTGCACAAGTTTCGCGTGCGGAACTTTCGCGTGCGCAAGATTCGTCGTGCGCATCTTTCCGTGCGCAACTTTCGCCGTGCGCATCTTTCGGGATCCCAGTCCTTATATACCTCGATCGCCTAGCAAAGAGAAATTTGCAAAATAATATTTGTTTTTATGAATGGCGAAAGAAATGCGTTTGTTTTTTGCTCACAGCGAGTGATTTTTTCTCGTAGGCAATATGTGCATATCGCTACTACTGAGGAGAAAAATGGAATATATATTTTCATTGTCATGTCTCTCTATTCACTGAAAATTGAGCCCTATCCGCATGTAGATGGGCTTTTTCACTTTCTTTTCCAAATCCATGTGACTGTCAATGATGAATAAAAGAATCGTTTTATCAACGATTATGCATCTATCAAATTTATGTAGTTATCAGGTATTTTTTATTCTGTCCAAATCTACAAGGACGTCGTTTAATCATTATTTCAAAGAGAACAGCAAGAGAGAGAGAGAAACAGATTGACGTATTGACTATTATTGAACGTGTTGATAATAACGACTAAAAAAAACAATAGAGTAGAAGGCATTTGATGAGCGAGAGGCCATGAAGACGATGCACAAGTAAAATAAAAGTTTATTCAGGTGTGATCAGAACCAAACAGAGAATAGACGAGAACGTGTTTGTTTTTCTCGCTCTCCCTCTCTTTTGATTTTTCATCTTCATACACAGACATGCTGATAAACGCACAACGTGAATTTTGAATTAACAGAGAAATAAACTTATTTATAGTTGAAAAATATGTGACAGATGAATTTGGTATTTATTTGAGATTGGAATAGTATTTTTGTAATTTTCTATAAAGAAATATCGTTAACGTAAAAACATAAAAATATTTTTTATATAGTGTATAAGTATTCTTTTTTTGTTTTTTTCTGCAATAATTATAAACTTTCGTTATAATTTTTTTCCAAATAATAAGAACACGAAGACTTGGAATGATTGCTATAATTTGATTGAAACATAAATATTTTCTTTTAACATAGTGAACAAATGTTTGGAATGATTCGTGACTTTCAACAATTCATGAATAGAATTTTTTTTGAACTTATTATTGATAAAAAATTTCCATTCAGAATTCTAAAATAAATGATTAAATAGTAAAGACTAGAGTTCACTTCAGATATTTTACATTGTTTAAAACAATTGATTCAAATGCATGACGAGAAAGGACGGAATGAAGGAGATTTTTAAAATTAAAGGTGCCTCATTATTACATATATGTCGTATCAATACGATGTGGGAGCATTATAAATGATTATAAGTACTAATAAAATTTAAACTTCATTTTTTTTTATGACTCGTGTAATAAATGGCATATGACTAATAATAGTTCTTATAGAAAAATTTAGTATT